GGCGAATCGGTAAGTTTATCAGAAACGTATATCAAAGCTCTGTATAGCGAAATGATACTGAATTATGCTAAATTATCTGCATTTTTGGAGATGATTGAAATTTTAAATTTCATTATTTTATTAAAAATTGTTATAATAGCAGCACAGCGATTTCCTAAAACGCTCCATATAGCTTGGTTAGTTTATCTTAATCAAATAAGCTTTAAAAAATAGGGGGGTCACCGATCTTGATTTTAAGATATTTACTTAACAAATCCCATGAATCCTAATAATAATGGCCGTCTAGTGGTTTCTATAGCAACAAGTAACCGTGGTAGTTATGGAAAAAATGTAAAAAAATTCAAAACTAAATTGATGAAATGTTTATCTTGGGGATGTAAATTTTGTGTTGATATGGCATAGACATATGCGCAGAAAAATGCGCAGTTTAAAAAAACAAGTTAGCCGCATCCCACGTTAAGAAAAAGAATTGAGATTATACATATTGACAAAGTATATTTGTTATTGTTTCACAGGTATTTTATGACAACTTACTTGAAGAAAATGAGAAATTGAAAACAGAAAACAAACAGTTGAGAGAGGAGTATGATGAAATTTGCCAACATCAAAGGTGACTATTAGGCTGATTGTTCATTGCAAAAGTGTGTTCTTTTCAAATTGAGAACTCTATTTAATTCATGTCAATGTTTGTTTCTCTCTAAGGGAGGAGAATGAAACTCTTAAATTGAAGTTAAAAAAATTATCTGATGAAAAAGAGCAAAATGAAGAATATGAAATAGTGAATAAAGCCGATATTATTTCCTCAATGAAAGAAAAATCCTCCAAGGTAAAGACCTTTCAAATGTACAATTTCCTATTAATGAAATGAAATTTATATTGTAGTTGCTGGATAATACCTATGGTACATGTATCTACACTTATTGTTTCAACTTTTTTTTTAAGAATGATGATCAACTACTATTAATGATGTCATCGCATAACGCTAGTAGTCTCGAAGATAGTTCAAAATTAAAAAAGAAGATAGCTGCCCTTGAGAAGCAGAATAAAGAGGTATTGAAGCATCTACATTTTTATAATATGTTGTTGCTGCATATATTTTTTTACTTACATCCTAGTCCTATTTTATTGTTGTCATGTTCTTCATTATCATGGGTATTTGATACTCTCTTTTAAAATTACATGTTAATTATTTTTTTGCTTTAAAACAGGTAATTCAAGTGAATCAACAGTGGGACTCTCATTATACAGCTATGAAAGCTAGTCTGGAGGCAACGATACATGATTTTAAAAGACGACTAGATGCCATATCATCAGAGAATTCTAGATTACGGTCGATGGAAAGTTCGATTGGTGATAAGAAACAGAAGGATATTGATCGTATGCTAAATGATGCGAGAAAAAGAGTTGAAGTTGAAGAAAATACACGAGAACAAGCTGTAGCTGATTTGCATGAAGAAAGGGCAAGGTGCCAAACCTTACAACAAAGAGTGGTATCACTTGAAAGACAAAATATTCAGATAATGAACCAACGAGCTGCACTTGAAAAAGAAATTAAACGTCTAAATAAGGTAGGCTATACATGTACTTTAAACAATTGTTTTTTTTTGTGGCATTTAATTCCACTATTTCAATATTTTGAGCATTTTCACTGGATTTTAAATTCATGATTTTGTGAGGGAAACAATGATTTCTATTGTTATTTTACATACAGTTTCACATGGATTTAATGTGGCGGTATTTACTCGTTTCATGTAATTAAACCTGTTTGTCCACCACAGGCACTTGCTGAGCTTCCACCTCAGCCTCGTGGGCGACCATTATCAGAAACCGAGGAAGTGCCAGAACCCATGCAATCTAATGAAATGCGAAGTCATATTGAGGCTTTAGAAGCACAAGTCATAACATACAAAGAAGATTTTCATACCGAAAGACAAGACCGTGAACGTATGGTTAATCAACTGGAGGATCTTAAGAAAGAAAATAAAACTTTAAAACAAGAAAAGGACACATATGAACAGCAGGTGTGTGATACACATTCGAGAAATTGTCACTGGGTTTAATTACAGCATTGATGTTTTAAATTCATTGCTTGCTTTGTGAATGATTCATTCTATTTCCAAATTTCAATTTCAATTTTGAACATTTAACTTATTATTAGATCAAATTATTATTATTATTTCAAATTGCAGATTTTGTTTTCAATTTTATTTTGCTTTTTAAATTAATCGTAATTTGCTTTATAATAAAAATATATTGTGTTCAATCATTCACTAACGGCAGTTATCACAACTATTCCAGGCACGTTGGTATGAGGAAGATTTCCGCAAAGAGAAGGAAGATAAAATTCGATTACAAAGGTCATTGAAAGAGGCCAATGCACGGAATGCCCATTTTGAAGTGAGTTTAATATTCATGACTCTTTAAACGGGGAACTAACTGGCAATTATTTTATACGTTAACGCCTTTTAAGTACAAGGAAGTAATAACTCAGTTACTTTACAATGAACCCTATTTTATCATAGGTTCCTGCTACAAGAGTTGAGATAGAGAGAGAGAGGTACTACACACCACCAAGAGATCCATATTACCAACAAGGATTCTTTGATGTTAGACAGGAAGGTAATTATTATGGTTATCAACAACCAAACAGAGCTCAACAAGCTCCTCAATTTACAGTAGAGGAAATACAAGCAATGCAACTGGAGGCATTGAAACAGGTTGGTAACTTTATTGTCTAGGTTTGCTACATGTATGGTGTGAATAGATTCAGCTCATTATGTTAGTACATTAGTCAATACGAAGCTATTTACAAGAACATGCCTCATTGGACACCCATCAGCAGCTTGATTTTTCTTTATGTATCAAATTCTGCTTCAATATATTTAGGCCTCAACTGGAATATGTTGAAATGTATGGATACAATTAGTTATCATTTGTTCATCATATGTTTTTTTGTATTTACTAATTTGTTTCAAATTAATCAGTGTAATTATTCTGTTTTCACAGGAAGCACGTCTAATACCACGTGGTTATCAAGGCCAAAGATCTGTAGAAAGACGACCCAATAGTTACCCCAAACTTGGTCACAATTTAGCAAGAAATGACCTTGTAACTGATAACGACGTGATTGATGGTACTGAGACGTTATCCTCATCAGGAAATCTGCACTGTCCAAGGTTAATAGTCTTATAGTTGAATACACATTTAATGATTCATATGTGACTATTTAAAATGCATACAGACCAGTGGGTTGTTGAAAACGTACATGTTACATTATTGGTTATTTTGCAATTCCAGGTGCCAGAGGGAGTTCCAACCAGACGATGAATTATTCCAAGTACATATTGAGAGATGTGTTCCATAATAATGGTTTACAGATGCAATATGGATAACTTTGAGTATTTTCGAATCTGTTTAATTAATTTTGTTTGTTATTGCGTCTTGGTAAACCAACTAAATAAAAACGTTTTGGTAGCAAACATGTTGATAGAATGAATAAAATGTTCGTTATTTAAGCGAACTCGTATTTCTGTGTAATCAGCCAAAACAGATTTAATATTTTATGACAATCAATAAACTATTACAATATCAAACAAAATTCATCAAACATTCTCAAATTTACTCAAAGTTATCCATATTGCATCTTTACTATTTCCTGCCAAATGCTTTTATGTGCACCTTCCTTGTGTGTAGACTGAAAGTTTCTTCATCGTCACTATGTTAAAAAATACATTTTATGATCTTATGATCTTGTGAACTTGTATGTAAACTTTTACAAATACTTCGTATTTATATACAATTTATAAAGTATTGAAAACAGTAATAAAAAAACAAGACAGCTAACAGCTCGTACAGCCAATCAGTCCAGCTTATTTGCTTTGTATAATAAAGTATTCTTTCTAGTTATGTATACATTTACCCAACATATTATTTTCATATTGTTTCAGTTCATGACTCAAAGGCCGTCAATGATGTTGATAGCTAATAACAATTGATATAACATTTAGACTATGTTAAAGATTTTGCGATATTTCAAAGTAATATACTATATATTACTATTTCAAATGTAATTGAAATGCTTGTTACTGTAGTACATAATACGGTGTATGTAGATTTTCTTTTAGTAGCCTTTAGATTTAGTTGTAAAGTCCATATAGCATGTGGTAGATAAGATGAACCCTCGTAGATCGGACAATATATACATTATAAAATATGCCATGCTATAGTGTTATGAACTCTCTATTGCCCATGCTCAATAGGAACCGACATACTTTATTCACAAGTTTCATTACGTTCAAATTCAATATATATGGATTAAAATAGGTATAATGAATGTTTAATTCACAGCGTACGTCGGGTTATTTGTATATCGTGTTTTCGTGTATAGTTCTTGCTTTTATAAGTGTGTGTCTTACTTCTAATAGTTCAGAATATGCTCCATTGATTATTTACATGTTATATTCTGTGTTTTATGCAGTTTGCAGTGATTGAGCATCGTATGGCGGTAACTAGCAAGGCTTAGATTCATTTTTTTCTATCAGTGTAACTGATATATTTGAATGTATAAATGTAAAAAAAAGAAAATACCTGAATTATTTTTTACAATAAATATTAACGTCCTACGAAAGTACCCGCCGGCAAAGTGGTGTCACATTAATGCAATAAACTGCCCACACAATTCCACAAAGAAATGGGGAGATATTAAAACAATATTACATTACATTACAGTACACAAAATGTCAATTTTGCAAATACATTAATACAAGAACAAAAACAACCCTAGTCATCAGCTGCCGACACCACATTTAACAACAAACCAAAATAAAAAATCGATCTAAAACAATTAAGAATTTCATGCAACCATTACTTTGCATGGTCCGTGACACTAGGTATTTATTTTTATGAACCAGCAGAAGTACTAGTTAGAAATGAGCAAGTATTACCTCGATGGCTCCCGTCAAAATTGGTGGCAACCCAATTTTAAAACCTGAGACGAGAAGATGACGCCTCAAAAATCAACTGCCATAAAGTAAGGATCACCAAAACATATATTTTTTGTTCTATTATGTTTCATAATCAATAATTTTATTTATTTATATATTGTAAATTGATTATGTATTGTTTTGTAATAAAAAATGATACAAACGCAATAAAGATTGTTATATAATTGCACTAGTGTGTGAAGGATTTTGATAATTGAATAATACGCCAGGTATATTTTGGTCGTTTCATGTGTTGATCCTGCCCAGTTCAACTACACTAAGTAATTTAGGTACGCAACGGTAAATTACGTTGATCACGCATAATTTAACCCGATGTACAGCATTATAAATTATCCGTAATTCTTTGATTTGTACTTTTGGACATTTATTTCTCTCCAACTTTTCATTGGTTTACTATTGTTGACACTATTCATAAGAAGTTTGCTTCCAGGAAATAACTTCACGCGATGTTTTGACGCCATTTGGACGTTAATATCTTTGTTTGTCTTGTTTAACGTTCGATATCACGCATAACATGGTGTCACGATTTTAGTGTACCTATTAAACGTAGACTTTACGATATCTAGTCTAGAGCATTATATTTTTAGATGGCGAGTCATTAAATCAATCAAAACTATACCTTGAAACCTGACACTACCTCATTTATACAAAGAGATCCATGGATCATTCTCTGATTGATTTGTCTATGTAGTACTATGTATATTCAGTTGTGTGTTCTCAAGTTGTAACACCTTTTGTTTTCGAAACACCTGAGATCACTTCCAAGAGTTCATATATTAGTCTATTCCTGATTTGACTGGATGTATTCTTTCATTTGTCAGTTGATTGTCTATTATACGTCGAACGTTTGTCTTGGGAGATTATAGTGTTCTTTTTTTGTATTTGTGAACTTGTAAATTTCTAAATGATTATAATTTCGGATATAGTACGTGTATGTTGATTTTAATTTTATGCAATTTGGTTGTAATAGGTAAACAACTTATTACAGGCGCGAAGAAACAGAAAACGCGCCGTTGGTAGTCAGTTATAAATGGTTGTAACCCATGGTAACGGCGTATCTTATATTTCTTTTGCAGCTTTCTATACGTCGATGTAACACATTGGTCCTTATCTAGTCAAGTAACTCTAAAAGTAGGATGCAGGATGAGGGTTTAGGGGCCAGTCTACGCTGTGTTGTATCTTGTTTTACCATATTACTATAGAGATGTATATACATTATACGAGACACGGAATTAAATAGTCTGACATAATTACACATATATTAAGTACGTGGATTGGGCTTTGTAGTAAGCGTACAGTATTGACTTCATTTTTCAAACTGTCAGCAAAAGATATCTCCCTCTATTCCGATGAGTAGTTTTCTCGTGGTACCACGTGTTACTACTGCTTCCGAGCAAAATTTACGTACTTCCTAAGCCCACTGGCAAAACCAGAAATTTGGGGGGGGGGTGGCCACTGCTATTGGGTCTCCTCATGACGTTTGTAAATTGATTTGTCATATTTTGCTGCCAGCCGAATAACTGTTTAACAGCAGATATCAGGATTTATTGTATTGACGACATATGCCAGGTTTCAATCAGTATAACATTTGCATTTTGACAATTCACAGTTTTTAATTAGTAAATGAATCGTTTCGCTAATTAGATAATCGGAAATCTGTAATCAGCAAATCTGCATTCAGCAAAACAAAAAAATAGCGAAACGAGCCATTTACTAATTAAAATCTCGTTATTTTCGGCAAATATTTTATGTAGTGATATACACGACTGAAGGGTGAATATACTGGTCAAGTTTCGTTCCAGAATTGTGAATATTGTACGTGTAAGACCCTTGTTTCGCTGACTACAGATTTACGATTAATATCTGTAATTAGCGAAACGAACCATTCACTAATTAAAATATTGTTATTTTCGGCAAATATTTTGTAAATATTGTGCGTATAAAACCCATTTTCTCTGATTACAGTTTATTATGTGTGTCATTCAGTTCAGTTTTGTTTCGTTTCTTCGATTACAATAAGCCGTAGAACATGAGCACCACCAAGGGTTTCACCAGTTCAAGGACAATTTTCAGGGGAAAAACTTATTATCTAAATATTTTTTCGAAAATCAAATTCAATCGAAATGCTAAGAAACTGCCAAAAAAACTTCGCATTCAGTCGATCGTTCAAATTTAACTGTAGACAATAGACCCTCTCGTCCAGTCTGTTATGTTCAAATTGCATTTATTGGATCTTTCAATATTCTGGCAGGCTATCAAATGTTTCAGTATTAAATATTATGTTTATATTGTATGACTTAAGTATTATAATGATATATTAACCCATCACAAACTATAGCTTTAAACGTTTCTATCTAGAATGTCTAAATTCATTTTAAATTTACTAATTGAGTCTAACACTATAGACCACCAACAACAAATAATTCATGCCATGGATGCGGTGCACCGAATATGGTTTGTAGGGACTTTCCAAGTGGTCCCAAGCTCACAAAATACGTAAATGTCCGCATATAACCAATTTGAAATACTAGCACAGTAAAACTCATTATTCGTCAGTAAAACTCATTATTTATCACCTTGAATATTTTGCTCTACACACTTTCTAAAACACGTCTGGGGCATTCGCAAGGCTAATGATACAAATTGGCACGTTGCCAGGAACTGTCTCACACAGTTTAAAGGTATTGAATAAATAATCAATTTATATATGCGGGTTGCCATTGTATACTAGTACATTTGTTTGTGACAAAGCAAGTGGTGATCTGAAGATTGGCAATTTGTAGATTTCCTCTATAACATTCCTTTTCATTTGCAAAAAATTTTCTTTCAATTCTAAATTTAATTTTTATTTTATATTTGTTTCATTTACATTTTAATTTCAAACTATTCTTATCTTTAAACAACTGTAGAATTGTATCTTTAAATCAACACATTCTCGCGTTTTACTCATATTTGCAATAGCAATCTAGTAGAAGTACCCTTCAGTTTTCACAATAATCACTTTTTCATAGTATCTTTGTCAAACATCCAATAATCGATAATTACACATAATATGTGGCTATTTGTAGCTAGTCTTACTTAAAACTCCTGAAAATGTTAATAAATAATATTATCAGACTAATATATAGAGCTGTATCCAAATTATACTTATACAATCTGATTTAGTATGACTCAGACATGATTTAGCAGCACTTCAAACATCTCGATTGGTGTACATAGTATACCACCTTTTTCAGTATAGGTATGTATATGTATATAATATGTATATGTATATGACTTCTTATAGTATAAAACTCGTTGCCAATGTTATACTCTCACTACTAGCCTTACCCATGTATACACGTTTTGTCAACATGCTCAATAATATTTCTTTTATATACCATATCATAATCGTTCATTGAACCAACCGATTCAAAACGCATTATTTAAAGCTGTGATTGTTGTGTCATGGATACGAACACTGTCCTAGGCTAACATTTTTAAATACTTGGGCAAACCAAACATAGTCATACTCTTTTTATAGGTATAAACGAATGTTTGTAAGGGGATTTCCAAGTGGGCTGCTAGGCTAATAAAAGAAATTGGCACGTTGCCAGGAATTGTTTCATGGTGATATTATAATGATAATCATTGATGTATTTGGGTGAAATTGCTGACCGATTGTTGCATAGGAACACATATATAAACAAGTGTAGGTGTATTCAAACTATGTGCAAAACGGAAAATGTATTATCTTATATATGTCAGTTCCGACAGATCGACAGACATATGGACGTATAATTTAATTAGTCAATAGCAAAACTTTCAACAGAGGCAACATAAGCATGGTTGAGATTTGACAGTAGACAGTCAGCATGGCCATACTACTAGTACATCGACTATAAGATAAATATCACAGTGTGCTAGTTCAACGACAAGTGTATAGGGTTTGTAAATATAGTAGTTACACGTGACCAATAAATACGATGCGATGCGACCAATGTGGCATTCTAACAACCACGCCCCGTCGATGACGTCCCAAATTCACTGTTTCTTATTTGGGCTGTATCAACTGATAGTTTTACACAGGAATGAAAGTGTGACCGCTTCATTCTTCGTAACGTTGAAATAAATGTACATCGTTAATGATGCCGGTCATAATGCGACTGTCCTGACAGAAAGAAATAGATGTTGATTCAATCTAATTAAAATCTGATATATTGTATGTGAATTTAATTTAATTTTATATACATAATATTTTTATTTATTTTTACACTATATTTTTCATTATTCGGTAAAAGGAAATCTTACTTTGTCATGTCGATTGGTTCACCCACAAAGACAATTTTAATTTAATTTTATATTATTTTGTAGTTGTTTTATTATTATTACGTACATTTTAATTTGTATAATTTTAACTATCGCCATATAAATCTGAACCAACGCATATAACGAGATTTCAACGAGATCCCCTCTGACTGGTTTAAAAAATCAATCATTCACCCCTTCCCATGTCGCGCCTGTAGACGTCACTGGCCAGAAAGAAACGCGTCACAAACACAATGAAATAAAATGGCGGATTCTACCTGTCTGGCAATAGCTCATAAATGAACCCTAACCCCGCCTCAACAGACAAAAGCACACTAAACTATTCAAATATAGAAATTCATTGTGATCATGTATATTAGCTTTTTAAATCACTTGATCTGAAACATAATTTATAGTCAATATCCTTCACCTCAAGGTAGTGTGGGTGTGATTAACACTATTCCACACATGATTGAAAAAAACCGCTCAATAAAACCTTGAAACAATATACTAGTACGTTGAACCATGGTGGTAATTATTACCTCCATACTTAAACAAATAATCCAATGCTTGTGGAATAGCTGAAATATACAGTGTCTTGTTATAGGCAATATATATACCAGAACAAATAGACAATCTGTTTCAACACTAAATAATTACTAATTCTTTCATTAGGCAACTGTCACTTAGTGTTATTCAAATGCAAGCTTTAGTATAGTTTGATTTCCTGAGGAATATCATAGGTTAGAATCCCTTGAGTAAAAATGCAGTGCTAGTGGTCCCCGGAGCCGCGATGCTGTGCGCTCAAGATTAGATATTAAAATATCAAGACAATAGTAGTTCCACGGGGAGTTATC